CCGTTAAAGTTATTTTATCTATAATAGATATGTTAGCACCTTATCTAGCCACTATATTTAATATAAGCGTCGAATCTGGTGTGTTTCCTGATTTAATGAAACATAGTAAAGTCATACCTATATTTAAATCTGGTAGTACATTAGACCCCGCCAATTTTAGACCAATTTCTGTACTACCAACATTAAGTAAAATTTTTGAAAAAATTATTTTAGATCAGATGTTAAGTTTCTTTAATATTAATAAATGGCTACATAAAAATCAATTCGGTGTTACAAGGGGTCGCTCGACAACTGACGCTAGAGTTGAGCTTATTAAACATATTTTTTGTGCATGGGAGAATTCAGAGGATGCTTTGGGTATATTTTGTGACCTTTCCAAGGCCTTCGACTGTGTTCACCATGAGACATTAATCAGGAAGCTACAGTACTATGGTGTCAAGAACACAGCGCTTAAACTTATTATGTCATATTTAAGTAATAGAAAACAGAAGGTTATTATCAATGGTAGAAGTTCTTCCGGGTCACCTGTACTAATGGGTGTTCCTCAGGGCTCGATTCTCGGCCCATTCCTGTTTCTGGTGTATATTAATGACTTACCTCACCTTGTAGGGGATAGTCATGATATAGTAATATTTGCTGATGATACTTCCTTGATTTTTAAACTTAAACGTCAATCATTTAAATGTGACGAAGTGAATAATGCTATATCAAAATTAGTGCATTGGTTTAACGTTAATAATCTGCATTTGAACGGAAATAAAACTAATTGTGTTAAATTTACAACAACGAATGCTAAAAATCTGAATACCAATGTATTTTTAAATGGGGAGGAATTGAGCCCTGTTGTATCCACTGTTTTTCTTGGCATCACTCTTGACCCCATATATCCAAATTAGCAAGCAGACTAAGTTCTGCAGCCTATGCTGTAAAAAAGATTAGAGGTCTTACTAGTGTCGAGACAGCTAGATTAGTTTATTTTAGTTATTTCCATAGCATAATGTCTTATGGGATTTTGCTATGGGGAAATGCGGCTGATTCAGAAACTATTTTTGTTTTACAGAAGATGGCCATTAGAGCTATTTACAATCTAAAACCGAGAGAGTCTCTTATATATTAAAAGATAAATTTAAAGAAATAAATATATTATTAACTTTGGCCTCTCAGTATATTTACGAAAATTTAATGTATGTTCACAAAAACAAAGATAGTTTTAGTAAAAAAAGTGATATACATTCTGTAAACACTAGGAACAAACACAAGCTAGTGATGCCAGTTTCTCGACTCTACAGAGTCAGTAATTCATTCTTGGGGCAATGTATACGCTATTACAACAAGGTCCTGGAAAGTGTACAGGTTCTCTCTATTACCAAGTTTAAATGTTTTATTAAGCTGAAACTGTATAAAAAGGGTTATTATAGTATAAATGAATACATGGTTGATAATAACCCCTGGGAATGAGGTGGTCGCTTCCAAGCAGTTTCTAAAATAAATTTTGTAAATAGTTCGTAATCATTTATATTGTAAAATTTATTTTAAAAAAAAAGTCCCGCTGGGTTTCTTGCTGGTTCTTCCCAGGACAGAGGGTTTTTTTTCGAACCGTACCCGTAACGTAAACCGTAAAGTAAAAAATAACTTTCAATAAGAATTACACATGTAATGTATATTGAATAAAAAATATTCTATTCTATTCGGTAAATTAATTTTTTTGAATTAAGTCAGTGGTTTGAGTATTGTTACTTTGAAACTTGGTTGAAATATAAGCATAGGACTACATGTCTAAAAGGCTAGCTAGTTGGGAGATTATCAGATAGAAATCAGCTGCCGCACAATTGAGTAAATGATTATATGGTAGATGGCTTGGTTATGCCTACTTGCGTGAAAAATCATACTAAGGCCTATCTGTGCGTTTTCGTGTGCCTCGCCACTGAGGCCATTCACTTGGAACTTGTAAATGCCCTTGAAGCCTTTGTGGCCATGCTGGCCGCTTCGTATCGCGTCGCGTTTTGCGGACCTGATCCGGTCTGACTGCGGAACGAATTATAAGGGGCACGGATAGATATTTGTAAGAGGTCGTCGAATTTCTGTCCGCAACAGCACCTATTTAGGTGCTGCGATGCTCAGGAAGGGCATTCAGTGGAGGTTCGACCCTCCGGTTTGCCCACATTGGGGCGGTGCCTTTGAGGCGGTGGTTAAGGTTGCAAGATCTGATGGGGTACCTAAGGTGGCCTAGGTTTTGGTTGTAGATTCGGTCTTGCAACATGCCGTCGCGACCCTATCCCGTTTGCCAATTTACTCGCGGACATAAGTCCTTATGTCCGGGACGGGGGTTTGTTTAGGCCCAAACAAGGGCATATGAAACGGCATCCAATCGCGTTTGACTCAGCGCATCGCCCGATGGTATGAGGTGACGTGTGCGCCGCCGGGGGGGGGGGGGCGTTATGCTGCTTCCCGGCCTGGTGGGCTAGCAACAGTAGCTTGACCGCAGCGGCTCTGTCGACTAGTGTATTATTTACGACCGCTGGATCGGTTGCGCGCGGCCAGTTTTTGGATTTGGTGGTCTAGAATTTGAGTATTTGTGCGCGTCTAATTTACTATTGAATACTTGGGTTTCGTGTAGACCGCCTCGAATTGGTTTGTCTAAGTTGTATGTTTCGTGACAAGGGGCTTGTATTGAATTTGAGTGATTAAAGTAACTTCGTTTGCAAGTAATTTACGTCAATTTGTATAGTGATTGCATTTTGAAGCGCATTTGCAATATTTAAGCATTTTTTGCTTGTGTGGACGGTTAATATCGTACGAAAGAATTCTAGTTTATTGGGTGGAACTTTGTGACCCGAGAAGAGATCGCGTTCTTGCTCGTGGTTATAATTTTGTTGCTAAGTGAAACTGGAGGTTGAACATTGATCGACCGTTCATTAGTTGTGCCGTGTGTCACGTGTTTGAGTACGATTAACGAGGCTTATCCTGGAGTTTAAAGTTAATTAAATGTACAATAAAGTTGATAGATTGAAATAGTGTACAATAAAGTTGATAAATTGAAATAGTGAAATGAAGGCAGAAATTTTCAATGGGTGATCTACGACTGGAGGGAGCGCACATTGGAAGAACATCAGCTCCGGTAGATCTTCTGTCCGATTAAATCGGGCCGTCAGGTTACATATATAAACACTACTGCACACTACTTATATACACCTCACTTATCACCTGACTGGTACCCTGTGGTCAACCCTACCTCCTGAAATAGGTAAGTACTTGCTTATTTGTCAGCCGTTTTTTGAACATTTATCCATAGGCCGTTGGGCCCCGTCCTCTGTTGCCCGTCGATGGGAGTATTCATGGGCCCTAGTTCAGTGAACCTTTGTCGGGGCAACTCAGGGCGTGAACAGTAGTCGTTCAAAAACTAGTTGTACTGATAAAAACTGTCTGTATCATGTCGTCAATTACCACCACATGAAGCACCTTGGTTTTTATCACTTGGAAGACGGATGTCAGAAATCTTTAATGGTCACACCTCTAGCTAATTCAAAAAGCCAATTGAGAGAAATTGGTGAATCCTTTTGGTCAATAAATAATGAACAGATCTGAACGAAGAGATAATTCGAAAAGCTAAACGAACCAAAGGTATACATACATAAAGAAAAGGGGCACAAGTTCGTCACCACAGAAAGATAGAATCCAATATTTACACCAAAGACTAACCAAAAAAATACTTTAACAGAAGAAAAAGGAAGAAGGAAGGATAAAGAAGAACAAAATATGGAATCGGCAGAATATGTTGACTTCGATGATATCTCAGAGATAACTTTTTCAAGAGGTGGTAATAAAGAATTTAGTATCGATTTAGAAAATGTATATCCACTTAATGAACACTGATAATAAATAAATAAATTTTTAAAAAGAAACAAAAAAAAATAATGATGAAGGTTTGAATATTTTTTACAGTAGTTTTTTACGATCTCATGATTGAAGTTCCTATCGAAAATTAAGTCTGAAAGATAATTATGTTTTTTATTTTAATATTGTGTTATAAGAGTTATTTTGTAACGATTTAGTTAATAACGGATTTTTTATAATTTGTTTCATTGCATGTCATTGCGTGCAATTATATTGGCTTATTAAAAATAATTAAACCTTAAACTTTAATTTTACTATTGATTTTTAATTGCTAACGTATGCCAACATTTCATATAGTGGTATTTAATTATGTGAACAAAAAAAAAACTAAGTAATTATTTCCGCATTTCATAATGAAGCTGATTGGAAATAACATGAAATTATCATTTATCTCTATGATTCTCACAAAGTCTCATTCTTCTGCCTTCCTTATCATTTAATTAGCTGCTTAATTTATCAGGATACCCTAATTCATAAACTACTGGAAGGAAATCAGTGTGTTTAATATATAATTATTTTTTATGACCAGGATAAAGTATTATTATAATTTCTACCAAATAACACAAAACAATTGAAGCCAGACGATTCAGTCGAAAATCATTGTTTTCAAAGAATCACCCGTCTGTCTTTCAATCCGATTATAATACAGATGTCTTCAAGGCAAGAGTGAATAGTACTACATCACAACTAAATCAGTACGCTGTCAATCTTAGGCTGTATCACCACTTACCATCAAGTGGGGTCAGTGGAGTAGCGTGCCTTAGAGGGGCCCTGTATCAAAATTTGTTGGGGGCCCAAGTGAAGGATAAAGATTTTTCACAAAAGGAACAAAAACTCTCGCATTGAATTAAAATAATTATATATTGATTATAAGTTATTACTTACAATTAATAGTCCTACGACTAAGCTAGCCAAACAATTCAAACCAACAACCTGTCCCATAGAAGTCCTTAGAATGTTTGCTTACACACGTTCGGGGCCTCTGTAGCCCGGGGGCCCCGTATCATTGATACGGCGGATACGGCGGTAGCTACGCCCCTGAGTGGGGTAGTGGTCAAGCATCGGCTTATAATAAGTATTTAAAAAAATTACCAAATAAAACTTACAAGATTTTATTCTTGCAGTAGGAGTCTAAAGTCTTCAAAATATGCGACAAATGCACCTGCTGTGATGACGTCAAGAGAGGCTTTAATGCATTTGCCAACTGACCAATATTCCATGTAACAATCTGTAAATCATTCAATTTACGAAATATGTAGTAAAGATAACATTGCATTTCATTTTCTACCGACTTTAAAAAGGAGGAGGTACTCAATTCGACTGTATGTTATTTTTATTTTTTTTATGTATGTTACCTCATAACTTTTCTGGGTGAACCGATTTCGATGATTATTTTTTTTATTTGAAAGCTGGTGCTTCTCATGTAGTCCTATATAAATTTGATCAAGGTCTGACCAATAGTTTTTGAGTTATTCTTAATAATTTGTATTGAAGTCGGTTGTACAAAATTTTTAATTATAAATTATATTTATATAGGCATTTTAAACATTATGATATCTAGGTAATTACTGTGGTATATGCTCATTTTTGGCCTTTGTTGTTCCATCAATGAAATTTTTGTATGTTTTTGTAAAACTGAATTGCGAATAGGGAAGTTGTACATTATATAATTTGTGCAATTTATGTTTGTAAACAGCCTCTACTATACAGGAAAATATCTACTATACAGGAAGTAACGTTTTTATAAAATAAAAGACAAAAATTAAGTAAATAAATAAATAAATATAAAAACAGAAGATAATGACAGTTGAGGATAGATGTGATAGATACTACCCCACTAATATCCACTACCCCATATCGCCCCGTGGGTGTAGTAAGAGGCGACGGTGTTCACGATTCACGCAAAAACTACTGGACAGATTGCCATGAAATTTTGTATGTAGACATTAAATGTGAAATAAATAATAATAGTAAATGTAAACCGTGTATAACCTATAGGTAACTTTTTATCCGCTTACGGAAGAGTAAAAAAAGAGTTATGTTTCTTTTTCCTAGTTTTATTGTCATTATGGCTACTGGTGGTTCTATTAGTCCTAAAGAGGATTTATGTATGCTATACGTATAACAAATATATAGAAAAGTATGTGTGTGTGAAAATAAACTCATCTCGCCACCAACCAGAAAGGGCAGAATAACGTCCGCCGGGCCAGCTGGTAACTAATAAGATTATCACATTACGTACTACATTTTGGCAATAAATAAAACTGAAAAAAAATCACTTGAAAAATGTGCAGAAAGATTTCATTAGTAATAAAATCACGCAAGTGACGTTGGCTTTGCCTGATACAGGGTCCTGGATTCATCTCCTCTGTTACGTACTAAGTTATATATTAATCTGTGCTTCACTAGTCTACTCTACTCAGGACAAAACAAAAACAATTGTTTACGTCAGGCTGTTTAGCGAGGGCGTATCTTCCTTCTCCATCGCAACAGTTGGGAACAAATCCTCCATCGTAAGAGTCGACAAAACCAAATGGGCCGTAATCTAGTGTTAGACCAAGTAGACTCATATTGTCTGTATTTAAAAGGCCATGTGCGAAACCCAAACCTGGAACAGTTTCATCTTACATTATTAAAATCCATCCACGGTAAGGGTAATAAGCTATTTAGCAAGAACTTTTTATTGTACTGCTATTTTATATCAAGTCATATTCATATAGATGGCGCTATAAACATTTCGTTTATCCATCCTAGCGCAAGTCTCTAATCGAGAGGCTCCAAAAATGAGAATTCTTGATATTTGTTAGAAACGGGGTACGTCAGCGGTGGTTGCATAAAAATTTGGTCAAAATCTGATAATGGGATCCATGAGAGAATCATCAAACTCTTCAATTTGCAAAGGCCGAACTCTTCATATTGCAACTGTACCACTCTTTACCATGTCATCCGAATTCGATGATTTAATTGGTGATTTTTTTAAGTTATTTGAAGTAGTTATTTTTACTTTTCTAAAAGTTTAATTAAGTACTTAATTAATGATTTCTTATATTTACGCGAACACTACACATTGAATAAAACTACCCTTACGGATTTTATCGCGTTTAATTAAGTTATTTTATATTCCCGACGTTTCGGTTGCTTTCCAGCAACCGTGGTCACGGGGGACTGAGGTGATTGACGTCCCGATGTCAAAGTTAACCCGGAGTACCTTCAGCTTTTGAATTATTAATTTTATTAATTTTGCGTAGATCGGACCAAAATTAATAATTCAAAAGCTGAAGGTACTCCGGGTTAACTTTGACATCGGGACGTCAATCACCTCGGTCCCCCGTGACCACGGTTGCTGGAAAGCAACCGAAACGTCGGGAATATAAAATAATTAACTTATTTTATATTCCCGACGTTTCGGTTTAAACGCGATAAAATCCGTAAGGGTAGTTTTATTCAAAGTACTTAATTAATTAATCATCATTATCATCATTACAGCCCTTCACAAGTCCTCTACTGTGCATATGCCTCGCCCAAGGAATGGCACAAATTATACTACAAATTAATTAATTGAATGACTAAAATTATTGCAATTCACAATTTCATTGGTGCTGTTACGCACCGTTTTTCGTTGATACGCGAATAGGTATTGATAGGTATTGTCAAGTTTTGGGGCAAGCGTTTATGACCCGAGCAACCGCGGCTATTTTGGTGCAAATTCCTTGGATGATAATAATCAAAAAATAATCTTCACGTAACGTATTAATCAGAACATAACGTTTTTTAAAGTTGTTAAAGTTAAGAAGAGAGAGAGTTTTAGGGCAATGAAGTGTCCACCGCGCTGCCCCAATGTATGTTGGCGAACTTCACACGTCTTCGAAATATTATTTTTTCTTATTTCTCAGACATACAGGTTTCCTCACGATGTTTTACTTCACCGCCGAGCACGTGGTAAATCAGCACTTAAAATCGCAATTAACAATTTAATTGGTGCTGGCGGTGATCGAACCCGGGTTGCTCCCGTGCTGTGAAATTAACAGCGAGCGCTAACCATCTGAGTTACCGCGGGTTAAAGTTGTAAATAAAAATTAATTTGTTTAGATCCACCTAATCAAAAAAAAGATGTATTTTTTTTGTTATAGTTGTTTTAGTTTGAAGAGCACTTCCCGCCCTTTCTCAATTACGTGTAGTATCCCCGTCACCATTAATCCCAGCACTACTACGCTAGGAAAGATACTCCACCGTCGGTAATACGACACGTGTATCGCCACTACACGAGGCATCCTCATATGAAGTCGACTCTGCGGTGACGTGATCCGCTTTTATTATTTTAACAACTTTAAATTTTTCTTATATGATAGTGTGACAAACGAGCACACAGCCCACCTGATGGTAAGTGGTTGCTGTTGCCCATAGACATCTACATCTATCTTCGTTTGCGAATTAAAATGCAGATGCGTTGTCAGCCGTGAGGACTAAGATAGAATGCCTCTTTTTCCAGTAAAAAAGGTCTCCGGTTCTCTACACTCACCATACGAAACACAGCAGTGTTAAGCTGCTATTTTACACTGGTATTCTGTGAGAGCGTGGTCCTTCCCCGGCCGAGCCGACCCATTCGTGCTACAACTATACTACTAATATAGCTGTAGCATGGCTCCACCACGTATAAATGGTAATATAATGGATTCCCGCAAATTAACGCCTGATTATATCAATTATATTACGATTTCTTTCTTTTACCTTGCCATTTAGCAACCAGGTCCAAGGTCTTATGCGCTACCTCCGAAAATAATCGTATGAATCGATTCTCATCCGTGGAATGTATCTCGGGAAAGTATTCCTGTAAATAATACAAAATAGTTGCTCAAACACAACATCACACCACATTATACTTTTTTTACGTAGTCAGGGTGACAAAGGAGCATATTTGCAGATCACAAAGGAAGATATAAGTTGTCACTCCTGAAAACTGATAAATTGTTTCGTTCCCAGTATTATTTAAAATTAAAAATTTTGTAAATCCGACTTCAATATAAGTTATTAAGAATAACTCACTGACCTTGATCAAATTCATATGGGACCACACGAGAAGTACCAGCTTTCAAATAAAAAATAATTATCGAAATCGGTTAACCCAGTAAAAAGTTATGAGGTAACACACATAAAAAAAACATACAGTCGAATTGAGTACAGTCTCCTTTTTGCAAATCGGCAGAAAACGGGGTCTCCGTTTCTAGCGATCTCCATACGAAACACAGCAGCATTGTGTATGTTGCTATTGCACGCCGGTATTCCGCGAGGGCGTAGTCCTGCCCCGGTCGAGCCGACCTATTTGTACTGCAGTTATGTATCGTTAGCATAGTTGCGGCGTGGCTATAACCTCGTAAATTATTGGACCGATACAAAGAAAATACTATTTTCTAACAAGGGAACTTATGAGTCTGCAACAAAAATGTATTTTGTGTTGTTATGTTGGAGAAGATGTCGACTGTCGACGTTGCATCCGCGCTGTCAAATGATAACAAAGATGCTCCAGCTTCCAGCACGCATTTATTCCAAGGCAGTCTTAGAGCACAGTGTAATGGTTTTCCGGTCGAGCCGACCCATTCATACTGATTCTGTCTGCAGCGTGGCTCTACTTCGTATTACTGCATAATGCTATGTAGGATGTGGATTCGGTATTTTGGAACAAATTAATATTTAGTTACTAGTCGCTTTAAAAATATATACATATACGGGGTTATTTTTCAAAGAGTAGCCAAATTCCAAACTTAAGATCAAATATAAAAATAATGATATACCATTATTGCAGTTTTTAAAATACGAGTAATTGTGGCTTCTAATTTTATTTGAAATTATCCCAAATTGAATGTAATTTATGGACAACAATGTTTTTGCTTACCGATCGACCCTCACGAATGTGTGCGTGCGCAGTAAAATCAGTTAAAATAATGCATTACCACGCATTTTGAATTTAAAAGATAAAGAGGCCAGAGTTTATGACATTTTTTAAAAATATATTTCTTCACCATTTGCCTACTTATTATGAACCTTCTCTGCAAATGTGGCCGATTATTGCAAATATAACTCTGTATAAGTAGGTCGGGAAAAAGTTTCTTCGTATTTTATATACAAATTCAAGACATATTTTTTTTAAAGTTTAATTACATTTAATTATAATATACAGGGTCTGTACTATAGAAGAAATAAAGTCTCGACTGCAAAATGTGAGACCATTAGCTTATATCACGAGCTAACACATAGCGTATAGAATCTATAAGCTATGTATTAGCACCGACTTCAGAGTTACCTCATAACTTTGTACTGGGTGAAACGATTTCGATGATTCTTTTTTTATATGAAAGCTGATAGAATTTGATCAAGATCAGACCAATGGTTATTGGGTTATTCTTAAATAACTCATATTGAAGTCGCTTATATTGAAGTCAGCTGGACAAAATTTTAAATTTAATTTTAAATTATAAGTTCTATGAAGTCGGATTTTATTTTCATTAAAAGTTAACTTTTAACCTTATAGAAACGGATATGAAGAAATGTTTTCATTCAGAAACACAAACTAACCTTTATAGCAAATTCCGCAAGTAATCTTAGAACAGATATTTCTCCAGTTTTCGCCAATATCTCCAGAGAACCAAAACGAAACCAGCTGGGTGACAACCGAAGCAAAATTGCTGCGCGCTCGCGACGTGGACACCCAGAGTAGAATTGGTCTCGTATTACGAAGTCGTCGCTTACTGATGTCAAAAAGAGTGTAACTTTAAACTGTACTGATATATAAAATTCATAATAAGGGTGGGTCAATAAGTTCGTGACTTTTGGAATAAAACACAGATGTTTTGATTAATAAATCATTTTATTTTTCAACGTAGTCTCCCTTGAGCTCTATACACTTTGTCCAACGCTTCTCCAATTTTTTTATCCCTTCCAAAAAATATGATTTGTCGAGGTCCTCAAAATAGGCCTTTGTTTGCGAGATGACTTCATCATTGGAGTCAAATCTTTTTCCACCAAGCCATTTCTTCAGGTTTGGGAACAAGAAGTTGTCACTCGGAGCCAAATCTGGAGAATAGGGCGGATGAGGGAGCAAATCATAGCCCAATTCATGGATTTTTGCCATGGCAATTGCACATGTGTGCACCCTTGCATTGTCTTGGTGGAAAAGAACTTTTTTCTTGGCCAAATGAGGTCGGTTTTTTTTTCAAATTGTCATTGAATCGGTCCAATAAGTTGGCATAATATTCCCCATTGATTGTTCTTCCCTTTTGAAGGTAGTCAATGTGGATTATCCCGTGTGCATTCCAAAAAACAATCGCCATAACTTTATTGGCTGACAAACCCACCTTGGCCTTCTTTGGCGCCGATTCACCCTTAGAAACCCACTGTTTTGACTGTTGTTTTGTCTCTGGTGTGTTGTGATGGATTCATGTTTCGTCCACGGTTACAAAACGGCGCAAAAACTCCTCCATATTGCGATTAAACAACGCCAAACCTTCCTGTTAAGTTGTTACACGATTGCGTTTGTGGTCGACTGTGAGCAAACGCGGCACCCATCTTGCGGAAAGCTTTCTCATGCCCAAGTGATCATTCAAAATTGAAGCCACTGAACCATGCGAGATCCCTACGGCTTCCACAATCTCTTGCACTTTCAATCTTCGGTCGGCCAACACCATATCGTGAATTTTTTTGATTGTTTTGGGTGAAGAGACCTCAACTGGGCGTCCAGGACGTTCAGCATCTTCAGTGCTTGTACGGCCACAACGAAATTCAGTAAACCACTTTTTTACCATTGAAATCGATGGTGCAGAGTCTCCATAGTATTTATCAAGCTTAGCCTTGGTCTCAGTAATGGTTTTTTTTGGCAAAAAATAATGCTTAATAAGCACACGAAATTCACTTTTTTCCTCAAATTACTGGGTAGTCTGATAAAGATAGCTGTCAAACACAAACTAACTGACGCAGCAAGTTCAAATTTTGACAGGAGTCAACTGACAGATGCCTGTTGACAGGAGTAGTGTTGCTTTTTCAGTAAAGAGGTCACGGTCACGGTCAAAAAGTCACGGACTTATTGACCCGCCCTCGTATACGTTTAAAATTCGACCGCATTAGCATCAGGGCGGGGTAAAGTTTACTGATGGACATATGCCTCCCCTATAGATTACCTCATGGGGATATATGCCATATTTGCCACGCTTGGCAAGCGGGTTGGCAACCGCACTTTAATTTTTTTTATTTTAGTCGTTATTAAGAAGATGCTGCTGATCTCCTTATACGTTTCTCTCTGTGGCCTCTGACGACACCCACGGGATGATATGAGGTAGTGGATATTCTTACACCGCCACTACACGGTAATTATTTCTATGTACGTAATCATAATATAGCATAAGCAAAAATTGCTTTAATTTGTGCGATTTTCTTTGACGACTTCGTAGTGCCTTGACTAAATAAATTAAAACATGAAACAGAAATGACTACTACGATTCCCCTACTGTTGATATAAATGCATGTTCCCATGGGGCAGCTCACTGCCATATTGTTTAAACCGATTCTTTTTTTCAATTGGAAGGAATTGTTATTTTCAAACGGAACTTATTTTTGAATTTTCTGATGAAATACGAATAAAAATTACTTCTATATTAATATAAAGTAAATATTTTCAGAGTTATGAGTTTTTAAATGTTTCAAAAATCCTAAAACTCGGATACATTTGACCCATTAAATACATTAAAAAAAATTAAGGATATTTTTTTTATGCTTTTTTTGATGAAATACAAATAAAAAGCTCCTATTCCTATGACGATAAAGTTAATATTTTCGGATTTATGAATATTGACATGTTTGAAAAATCCTAAATTCGGATACTTTTGGTTCAAAAATTCTGTCAAATACTTTTTATAAAATTAATGATACACTTTTTAATACATAATTACATATATAGAAATTATATATTATGAATAGAAAGGTAATTTAAATTAGAATGAAATTTTATTTACATCATTCAAAATACCCTCCCCTATTTTGAAAGACACGGCCAATCATCAATTAGGGATGGGCAAGGGAAAAAAATATATCGATATATATCGAATCGATATTTTTATACAGTATCTATATATATCGCGTGATAAATATCGATATATCGATATATCGTCATCATTAGCATGATGTAAAGAAAAAGTCCAAAATTTTATATTACTGCCGGTTGCACGACGAAAAAAAAACATGACAACCAACCACACATGAATACTTTTGTACCTCCTTTTGTTGTTATATGTTTTGTCATTAATACAACATTTTAAAATTGATAAGAATTCATACTCTAAAATAAATATCGATATATCGAAATAACTTGATTGAAAATAACGACGATATATATATATAGATATTTTTTTTAAATCGATATTTCTATATATCGATATTTTTTACCCAAGCCTATCATCAATCGCAGCACGCACCACACTCATATGTATTTCTGTCGCTGCTTTAGCCAAAGTTGCTCGGAGAGATTCCAAATTCTGATGAGGTTTAGTGCAGACTTTCTCCTCCAAATGTTGCCATATCTTATAATCCAGTGGGCTTAAATCTGGATTCTGGACTAAAAGAGGGCCAGTCTACGTGTCCGATAAAGTCAATCCCATGGGTGGTCAACCAGTTTTACGTGCTTCGTGCCCTATGAGCTGGTGCAGAGTCCTGTTGGAATATCCAATGTCTGTTTTTGAACGTTTTTTGAGAAAGAGGTTCCACTATGTTTTTAAGACGGTATTTTGGTATACCTCGGCACCGGGTTACCTCAGTTACAGACACCTCAGTTAAGCCTGAATATGAAACTCCAAGCCAAACCATGAGTGACGAAGGATAATGTGCTCGTTGAACCCTCGGAATACGGGTGCTGGCTTCTTCACTGCTGTGGGCATACACCTTATCATTTTGTTTATTATAACTATCTTCGATGTTAAAAATTTTTTCATCCGAAAACTAAATTTCGCGGCATTTTTTCCCGCGTACCGCCATAACAAAGCGCGGGATCTATGCAGCCTAATTTTTTTCAAAGGCTCGTTCATAAAATGTCCGGTTTTCTTACGATAAGCTCGTAGTCCTAGGTCTTCATTGATCACTCTTTTGACCGTGGTTCTGGTTAGGCCCATCTGAATAGCTAAGATTTTTTGTTTACGAACATGGTTTTGTTGGATTCGCGCCTTCACTGCTTTGATGATCGCGGGTATCCTAACTGTACGATGTCGGCCGGTCCTGTTACGATCTTCGAAGCTTGACTCTTCAGTGAAACGTTTGATAGTGCGATAAACAAATCGTTGGGTTATTTTCAATTTTTGTAGAATATTGAAAATGTCTTTTGGCGCGTACCCACAGCGGTGCAACGCGATAACCGCTACTCTATCTTCTTTCTTCGACCATTCCATATTTGAAAATTAACGAAAATTAATGTCTTTTTTATTTTCGGCAAGCGCAAACGTTATATTTTTAAAATTGGTGAATTTCATCTAGCTAGTATTCAATTTTTTTAAATAATAAGGTTTTGACAGAACTTATGACCCGACCGTGTATATACATACACACAATATTTATCCTCGATTAAGAATCAAAATGTAGACGCGTTATCAACCCTGAGAACTACGATGGAGTGCCTCGTTTCCAGTAAAAAGGGTTCTCTACACTCACCATAAGAAACACAACAGCATTAAGTTGCTATTTTACGCTGGTATTCTGTGAGAGCGTGCTCTTACCCTGGTCAAGCCGACCCATTCGTGATGCTATTATAGTTGCAGCGCGGTTATATTATGGTTGTAACCACGTTGAAGATTTTCTTAAAAGTAAAAAAAAATGTTTTTCTTTATTTTTTTTCTTTTAAAAAACGTTACCCCCACACTAGGATTTTCTTCTGTAACTTTGAGGCAGTTTACAAACATAAATTGCACGAGGACAAACATCCAGACCCGGAACAGTTATTTGTAGGCCATACAAATACTTGTTCCGTGCGGGACCGAACTCGCGGTCCCCAGCGCAATAACTCATTGCTAAGTCACTGCGCCACGGAGCCGTAGAAAAAAGAAATTATTTAAGAAAATGCTGTCAAGTTCTTACCAACCAAAGCGGCAGCTCTCGTTGTTGGTATGCCCAAATGGTAACATGCCTCACTGGCCACCATTTCACGAATACTCGAGCGTAGCACTGAGCGACCATCGTGCATACGAGCGTAAGGAGTTTGCCCGGAGCCCTTTAGCTGTAATTGCCAGCGTTCACCTTTTCTATTAAAAAAAAAAAGGTGTTGTTTTAGTCCTATTGCCAATGTAAAACAATAAATTGAAAGATTGTACTTTTTTGGGGCTTTTATCTTTCATATAAATAAAATTGAAGTGTCTGTCTGTGAGATCGAAATAACTGCCTTATATCGAGTTAATATATTTGCATATCATTATTAAATGAATAACCATTTAAAAAAAAAATTTGTCTGCCTCTCTGCCAGGGTATATTAATATATCCTATTCAGACCAAGCCAGAGCGGGTCAATAGTTCTTACATAAAATCAATGCACATAACTCGGTTAATTCATCTTTTGTGGTCAGTTCCTTCAAAAGAGATACTAAATTACGTGTGGCTCCTTAATATTAGCTAATAAATCCTTATCATGTAAAGAACGTAAAGACATTGTGAGCCTCTCTATTGATCGTACTGTAGAAATGGCATGTGTTGAGCTTGACCACCTTATTGTTGTCAGTGTTTACAGACCCCCATGTTCAAGTTATGATACCTTTGAAAAAATTATGAAAGAAGTTTTAGTTAATCTTAATAAACAGAATAAATCTCTTGTGTGTGAAGACTTTAATATCTATCTCCTGGAAACTTCTTCCATCAGTATTAAATTTTGCTCTTTGTTCATATAATCTTGATAATTTATTCATTGAAGCTACTCGTATAGCAGGGTGTAGTGCACCTTGTATTGATAATATTTTTACAGGTGTTGTACCAATCAATAAATCAATCATTTAAAAACTTAGTTCAGATCACTGTGGTCAACTGGTTTCATTACCTAATATGCACAAAAAACAGGTAATTGAGAAAATTGTTTTTGTTCCTATTAATGCAAAACGTCTGGAGAGATTTATAAGTAATATGGTAAAAAAACCTTCCATCACTTTCTTATAAGAACAATGCAGACTATTTATATGGAGAATTATTTACCCTTATAAGCAATGAATTTAATAAAACATTTAATTCTAAAACATTCTCCAGAAACAGTCGCAAGGCATTTAATGAGTGGGCGACAGTAGGAATTCATAAAAGCAGACGAAGGTTATATGAACTTTACCATGAAAGATCATACTGTAATCTTTCCGATGCTTTTAAAGAATATGTAAAAATATATTCTAAAATGTTTAAAAGAATTTGCTCCACAGCCAAATAGTTACATATTAGCAACAAAATTAAGACTGCTAAGAATAAAATTAAAATGACGTGGAGTATAATTAACAGCGAAACCGGTAAAGACAAACCTCGTAAATCAAACTATCAATTAAAAATTAACAATGAATTGACTAAATCCAATCAAGAATTCGGAGTGGTGCTTGAGAAATATTTCACTGATGTTCCTATCTTGACAACAGAGTCATTGAATACTTCTCCAACTGTTGCCGAGTCATTACTCAAACAGAATGTTAATACCTGTTTAAAAGAAATTATATTTGAAAAAGTATTACCGCAGGATATTGTAAAATACTTCAAAACCATTGATGTAAAGAAAACCGCAGCTTTGTGGAGGATTTCCGTTACAGTTATTGCGTCCATAATAGATTTAATTGGAACTCATCTTGCTATTATTTTTAATACTTGTATCGAATCTGATGTTTGTCGTGATTTAATGAAGTATAGTAAAGTAATACTTTTATTTAAATCTGGTAGTACATTGGATCCCGCTAATTTTAGACCTATTTCTGTACTACCAACTCTCAGTAAAATTTTTGAAAAAATAATTTTGGATCAATTGTTAATTTTTTTAATGCAAATAAATTACTTCATAAAAACCAATTTGGTTTTACAAGGGGTCGCTCGATGTATGACGCCGGTGTTGAGCTTATGAAATATATTTTTAATGCCTGGGAGAAGTCACAAGATGTCTTGGGTATTTTCTGTTTTTTTTTCAGGGCTTTCGATTGTGTTCATCATGAGACATTAATCAGGAAACTGCAATATTACGGTTTAAAAAATTTGGCGCTTAGACTTCATCATCATCATCATTACAGCCTTTCACAAGTCCACTTCCTAACATAGGCCTCCCCCAAGGAATGCCACAAAGCACGGTCATGAGCCACCTGCATTCATCGACTTCCTGCATGTCTTACCAGGTCGTCACTCCATATAGTGAGGGGTCGCCCTACACTTCGCCTACCAGTACGAGGCTGCCACTCGAGAAACTTTCTTCCCCATCGGTTGTCGGTTCTTCGAGCTATATAGCCGGCCCACTGCCACTTCAGCTTAGTAATCCGTTAGGCTATGTCGGTTACTCTGGTTCTACTGCGGATATCCTCATTTCTAGGTTTATCACGCAGAGAAACCCCGAGCATAGCCTTCTCCATAGCTCGCTGAGCGACCTTGAGCTTACTCAAAATCTCAGATGTCCCGGAAACGATGCTGCCACATTCGGTTTTCAGCTTTGACAGTTGGTTATTTCTGGCAGACAGATCTCTGGCAAAGACTTTGGGGCCTTGGTTCCGCTCGATCGCTTCTTCAATACAAGCTGTATTGAAGTTACGTAAGTCCCGCCGCATACATTTGGAGATCTGTCTGTTCAGTTGCCTGTATGCTGTCAAATCTGTTGCAGAATGTAGCTTCATGTCCCGTCTAACAGCCATGAGATTAAGAGTTTGATCGGAGAGTTTTTGTGTTCTTCTGAGGCGGGTCTTGCAGAACTTATCTCCGACTGCATGGACAGTTTCCACGAGCTTGTCATTCATATCGTCCACTTCATTGCGGTCTTCTAGGCACTGAAAACGGTTTTGTAACTCAAGCTAAAAGGTTTCGGGACTCTGGAACAGAGCACGAGGGGGACGGAGCGTTGACTTCATTAGACGAGACCTCTCCAACTTAACGTTTAGGTTCAGTTTGCCTCTAACCATTCGGTTATCGCTATCAGTTTTCACCCTCGCGATCACGGAGACATCACTGAACAGTTGTCGTCTGGTCGTCATAATGAAGTCGAGGCTCGACCAGTTCCACTTCCTGTGGAGCCGCTTCTGGAAGAAAGAGTTCATCATAAAGAGTCCCTCTTTCTCCATGAAGTCGGCCAGCTGCTGGCTCCTTGGGTTTCGTTGCCCTATTCCAAATGTTCCTACTTTCAGCTCACCGTTCTCTCTTGTGCCTAGTTTGGCATTGAAGTCTCCCATTAACACCGTATAGTGGGTTTAGGAGGAATGAATGGCTCTAGTGATATCCTCATACATTTGCTCCACCTCCTCATCGGGGTGTGCCGAGGTTGGTGCGTAAACCTGTATGACCTTCAGCGAATACCGTTTGGTGATTCTGAATATAAGGTACGCAACCCTCGTCGATATACTCTCAATCTTTACAACGTTGTTAACGAGAGACTTGGGGACGATAAATCCGACACCTCCTTGGGACAGATGAACGGTGATAGGTGATAGGGCAAGTTGCCGGATTCGAGGATTACCCTGTCCCTTCGGACCTCGGATAATCCTATAATATGCCAGCGTAACTTGTCTATCTCTTCTTCCATCTCCACGATCTTCTCGTCAGTCCTCAGGGTGCGTGCGTTGTACGTTGCCAGGTCGAGTCGTCTAAGGTGGCAACCGAACCTCCACCGGAGATTCTTAGCACCCCCTGCCCCGCCGTTACCATGGTCGCCACCGTAGCCAGGAATAGCGGGGCCGCCGGGGACTGGGGGCCGTCTCTTTGTTACTCTCATCATAGAGAGTATTTGCCATAGTTGCCACGCTTGGCGAGCGGGTTGGCCGCAGTTTTTTACATGCCTGTTTCCCTTTGTCGCCTTTTACGACACCCACGGGAAGATATGGGGTAGTGGATATTCTTAAACGCCATTACACGGCAAGGCGCTTAGACTTATTACTTCATATTTAAGTAACAGAACTCATAAAGTCGTGATCAATGGTAAAGGTTCCTCCGGATCGGTAGTATCAATGGGCGTTCCTCAGGGCTCGATTCTTGGCCTATTTCTGTTCTTAATCTATATTAATGACTAACCTTGTCTAGGACAATCACGATATAGTATTATTTGCTGACGATGCCTCTTTAATTTTTAAACTCAAACGGCAGTCAATTAATTATGACGATGTAAATAATGCTCTATCGAAATTAGTACATTGGTTTAACGCCAACAATTTGCTCTTAAACGGCAATAAGACAAAATGTATTAAATTTACAATACCTAATGTAAAGCATTCGAAAACCAATGTACTCTTAAATGGGGAGGAGTTGGGTTTTATGGATACCACTGTTTTTCTTGGTATTACTATTGACGCGAAACTTCAATGGGGCCTCCATATATCTAAATTAGTTCTATGCTGCAGAAAATGATGAGAAAAATAATGCTGTAAGAAAGATTAGAAGTCTCACAGATGTTGAGACTGCGAGAACTTTGGCATCGCAATATATTTATGAAAATGTACATAAAAACATAAATAGCTTTAATAAGAATAAGGATGTTCATACCTTAAACACTAGGAACAAACATAAGCTTGTAATGCCACTTACAAGACTCCACAGAATTAGTAATTCATTTATGGGGCAATGTATACGCTTTCACGACAAAATCCCAGAACATGTTCAAAGTTTGTCAATAAACAAGTTTAAAAGTTTTATTAAAGAAAAACTGTACAAAAAGAGTTACTATAATATCAAGGAACACATGAATGAAAATAACCCCTGGGAATAAGGTGATCGCCACCATGCTGGTTCTATGAAAATTCATTTGAAAATTGTATAAACAAAATTATTGTGAAGTGAAATATGTTTAAAAAAAAGTCCCGCTGGGTTTCTTGCTGGTACTTCCCAGAACAGAGGTATTTTCAGAACCAGTGGTAAATAAAAAATGAATTTCAATAAGTATTATGTAATAATCAATATTTAATAAAAAATCATTCTATTCTTTTAAAAATCTTTTATTATTATTGTTATTTTATTGTAGATATGTTATTTTCTACCTCAACTTCAATTATCGGTATCGAAAATTGAATTTGAGGTAGACAACTTTTCGTGTCTACTGATTTGACGTAAA